ATCGGCATATTTGTGTGGGCTATAACAATGTGGCAGTTTCAATGATTGTTTTAAAAGACGCCGGGCAACTTTTCGGAGTAAAGCTTACTGATTGAGAGGGTCGAGTCATTGTGAGTTTAGATACTTGTGTTCTCTGGGTAGTATCTATATATATATATATATATATATATATATATATATATATATGCATAATACAATATGTATATAACATAGAGCGCACGGTGTTCTCAACATTACGTAAATAATCAGTACGGCTGACCGGCACGTTACAACTGGATTCCACATAGGGGCAGCTAGCTAGTCCAATGAGTAACATTAGTTAGCGTCATAACGCGATGCAATACCATCTGCGGATATTAGATAGATCCCTAGAATCAGATCGGTTAGCCCAGCAAGCTCACTTTGTACGTTTGAGTCGCGTATATCTTCCTTTTTACACACGGTAGCTCCGAATTCAGTGCCTAATACACTAGACGCTACTAATCTATTACGTGGGTTTAGCGCAAAAAAGAGCAAATATCCAAATTTAAATGAAACAGAATAAAACAATTGAGTTGAATTATCAGACCCGATCATTTCCATTCGCTGCCTATAGCGTGACGCCACGATATTTCATAGATATGTAAATTGTCTGCTGTTTAATCGTCGGCAGCAGAACAACCTTGGTAAAATCTAACCGGACCTTTACGTAACCTTTACGCCGCGCCACTGCAATTTTGTTCTAGCTGACGCAGGTGCAATCTGTTGCCTCGTCGACCTAAAACTGCCAATACCAAAAACAGTATAAAAATATGCGAATCCATTGTGTTATGTTTCTCGGATGTTTTTTACCCCATATCTACCCTTTCAGCCTAAATCTATTCGAACAGTTTGAATGAACTTGTACTTTTGTTGTTTCCTAACCAGATTAATTAGATCTTCACAAAGGTCTATGCTACAATATGGCAGTTTCGATACGTTTGCGAGTGCGATCCAGCGCCATTTTAACATATGACATTATATCTGAGAAAATCTTCTATACTGTATGCTATTTAAGACTGCCAGATTGGAGAAAAGCTATCGAACACGAGTAGACTGTCATTTTGTCTTATACACACATATCTATGTTATGCTGTGAACAAGGCAAGTTTACGTGATACGCGGGAAAACATATTTTTTAAGTACATTTAAGTCGTGTGCATACAACAAAAAGCAAGGAGTGAAAAAAAAAAGTCCGTATATGAAACTTTAAAAGGTTCTTAACATCCTGATAGCTGGAACTCTTGACAAAAAGGAGACAAATACAGGACAACATGTGTGCGTAACTAGTACTTCTTCAGGGAGGTGTTATCTACGTAGAAACGTTATCCCGTATTTGTTGGCTTGTGTATTTATGTTAATAATAATCTGCAATCACTAGTTCGTCTATGCTGATGCGACGGCTTTTTCATACGCGACGTACCTCATAATTATCTATGAATGCATAAAATTCGTCGTTTTCTGGCTTTGAAGATTGATGAACCTTTTTTGAAACACAGTTTACTTCGTCCTTCGAAGGCGACTGACCCGTTGGTGCGGATCGATTCTAGTGTTTAAACTTATCTTTTTTTTTCTTTTTTTGATGATATCGCATTGAATATTTTATTTAAGGAAAGTAGTTTAATGATAAACAATCGTTGAATCATCAGAGAAAAAAAGCGTCTTCCTTTCCTACACTAGGCATTTACAAGCGTTTTATATAGGGTAGATTATAATTTCTGTAGTGTCAGCCTTCACGGCTTCCTATGGGCTTCTGTTTGTAGCTAAGCACTTTGCACCTCTAGCTGCACCTTCTCCTTCGTTTTGGCGACTCGAGCGTTTCTTTTTTCGTTCATTGGCATTTTTCTGCTTCTTCTGAGGATCCCAAACTGTCAGTTCCGCGTTCACAGATCCAAACGCTGGTCTATATAAACCTATAGATGCCTCATCAACTGCCAAGTTTTATAGTTTAAACTTCCGCCTTCTTAGTTTTCTTTTAGGTCACGAGAAACCTTCAATGATGCAAGCGATCCGCAAAGAACTTTTTTTGATTTAAGCCAACTGCGTTGATTGCGATGCCCTTAGTGGGGCCACGGCGATCCCAGTTAAGAACACCCGGCCACAAAAATTAAGCTCCCGTCGTGTTCCCGACTAAAATGTCACGATCCTGCCAATCGTTTCTATCTACTGCAAAGCTCTACCCAAAATTTAAGATATCCGACGGAAAGACGATCATTGATTGAGGACTATGTGCCTTCAACCCGGATGGTTTTAAAGGATCGAATGGTCAGTTCCAAGAACAGAGCGCGCAAACGATCTTACTAACCATTGAACAAAATAACTGCTAATAAGACCGCACCTTTAAGTCTAACAAAGTGGAAGTGAAGATTAAGTACGACTGGTTATCGATGAATATATAGGTTGAGGGTTTGTTAGCCGAGGTCGGATAGGAGGAACGTTGCCAACGTGCGTTAATATTAACCTTTGCTTTTAGACTTTTTAGGAAAAAATAGCCTGAGTACAGACTACCATTTTTCCATGTGGTACTGTTCGTAAATGTTAGTTGGTGCATGACTATAGAAGTTATTATGTTTGCCTATTATTTGCTAATTCGACATTTTACATGCTACGAAAAATATGACGTCCACGAAACATGTGAAGTATGACAAGAGAATGAGCTATGTAGTTGATGCCGTTAGAAATATGTGGGGCGAAAAAAAAAAAAAAATATATATATATATATACTATTTAGTCCTGAAAGGTAAAAACGTATTGTAAAAGGTCGGCCATACAAATGCTAAACAACACGTCGATGAGCCTCGGCCTGATCCACGTATAGCATATATAGCAAGCCAGTAATGATTGTTTGAAACGAAATAGATATTGCTAATATTGTACAAGTAGGTAGATTGAACAGAAATGTTATTACCTAAGTCCCTTTTATTGTAGACCTGTATTTATCTTGCGCTCTGGATGTATCGTTGGACGTATGCATTAACAGATTGACAGCTACTTTATAAAGGCTTGCAAGGTAAAGTCCAACAATAGCTTTAGTACTCAAAAGCTTACAATTGTTAACAGCGGGCCTGACGAGTTCCCGTGGTGGTGCAATGGTAACGTGTCTGCCTACAAACACGAAGAACACAGAGGCAACAGATACAATGATCGATTTTCCTGCTCAGATTGCTCATATTGAGCCCGCTCACCGTAGCAATAATAAGCAGCGATACCAAGGTTTGTTCTAGAAAAAAACAGCTGAGACGTAGCTATGGAAAGAATTAGTGGACCTGATTAACCGGACGTAAGGAAGTCGAGGCAATTTTCTATAAGTTGAACCTATCATCGAATTATTACTTGTCTATAAATCGGCCATGTCGCTGTATTGAATTAACGCGATTCGATGGATCCAAAATTGTACATTTAGAATAGTTTTTAGCAAAAACGAATCTCGTATTATACATCACTAACTAAACCTTATGGTCGATCCCTAACAGCTTTAATAGAAGCAATACTGTACATAATACATCTACACACAATGTAGTTTCTCAAGGGATACTATCACAGCTCAGCTGCTTACCATCACCGGTCGACGATTCCCACTGGCTTGAATGAAGAAGAAGGCAATATTTCTTTAACAGGTGTATGTATGTATATAATAAGAATTGTTATTTCTATTATCTAAATAGATGTATGCATGGTTTTTATTGACAGCGATATACAATAACTGTATGTTGGCTGGTCACTATTGCAACGGTGTAGTGTGCCCATTCCCCATTGGAAGTGCGGCTTTAGCGAATAATTTTCCAAAGCACGTTCATTAACGATAATTATAGTTCAGTCATAACGAAAGTTAGGAAACGCGTTTTTCGGTAAGTATAAACGCACAAAACTATTTCAAATAATAACTTGGCCGATTTTCTTCGATTGATTAAGTGGCTTCCGACAGCCGTCACAGTCGAACCCCGCATAGATAACATCCATATTTACATTCGGATCGAAGACCGTAGTTTCGACCGGCGAGTGCGAACTGACGGTATGAATACTGAAAGTGCCTTGATGCCGGATCGACTTTCAGCCGCCAGAAATACATGCACCAGAAGTTGAAGAGCTTTTCGAGTCCCTGATCTGGTAACGGTGTACCAAGCACACGATTCAGACATTTGGCTGCTGTCAGGACGCGCAGAAGCTCCATGAACGGACCTGCCACCTCCAGGTCGACCTCGACGTTTCCGGCTGGCTTCGACATTGGCAGTGAGCTTTGAGACGCTGCGGAAGAAGCCATACGGATGCTAGCCATGACCAAATTGCGCTCGATGCAGGACGCGGTCCGCGAGTGTTCCATCCAATAATGCACTGCCAGAATCGGCAGACGGAGCGAGGCAGGCTCAATACGGAACACATCCAAATCATGGGTAGGATCGAGTGTTCTGCGTAGTTGACGAAGACGTTCATCGTCCGTGAGGCTGACAAGCTGATCGACGGCGTAGCTTTCCATGGACCGGCGAAACGTGCGGCTTTCGCCCCGAAGCAACGTTTTAATAACATCATGCAGCGATGGAGCGAGGTCCACGCAGTTGTCGTTGAGGACCGCTGGGGAAATACCTTGACGGAGACAGTACTTCACCGCTGACGTCGGCCGACTGAGATCCTCCGACGTTGTAGTGAAGTACTTTTCGAATAGGCGAAGATGACTGTCGATCAGATTGCGATGACGGGTAATCTTGTTCTTGACGATTTCCCAACGAACTTCGAACGGTGTCAGATCTTTCAGCATCAGCAATGTAGCGACGTATGGCTCCAATTTACGCGGTACCCTGACGTCCTTGGGCAGGTGGCAAAAGCAGTCACCGCGGTCTTCCAGACAATCGAGATATTCCAGAAGCGCCAGCTGGCACAGGACACGATCGTTCTTGCAATTAAGCTTCTGCAGAAGTTCGTACCGATCGTAGTACACCAGCATCGGCCACCCTTCCCGCTGCACCTGTGGCAGAACCACACCATTTTCCATGTCGAACAGGCAGAATCTTGTATTAGCCGATATCACGGGTGATCTGTTGTTGTTGGCAAATTCAATCATTTCACGGGCGTCATCAACGACATTAACTTTCATACCGAGATCGTAGCAAGTATCGACAAATAGAGCAAATGCGTAATTTACGTCGAACGCGCAATCGGTGAGACGGTCGGTATACGTTACTCCACGGGAAGGCACGACCCCGGCCACAGGGTACGATTCGTCACACGCTAAGAATAGTTTCAACTCAATCTCGCGTTGTAGAAACTTGCCGAAAAAACGCCGTACCCGAAGAGCCCACTGGTGATAATCCCATTCAGTATTGTAGAGGTACTCAAAGATGCTGATACCGTCCACGGTGAACGCCCAATGATGCAGAGTATCCCATACAACGGTGCAGAGAAGCTGCTCGTTGATTTGCAGAAATTCAAGTAGATCAACGCAGCGTACGTCGCGCGGCTCAATTTCACAGGATGTGCATGGAGCCGACGAGGACATGGTTTCCACCGAGACGTTTATCATTCCATGCGAAAAGATACACCACTCAAATAGCGGGTCATCAAATTCAAAGAAGAGTAACTAATCCAGTAGCAAAACGGCCTAAATCAGCTACAAAAGCTGAACGAATCCTACGACTTTGGCTAAGAGCTGTAGATTCTTATTGAAGTTATAAGTAATTCCAACACCTAACTGCCCGTTCTGCTTGTACCAGATTTCGTATAAGCGCTCAGGCTAGTATTCTCTTCCGCTTATATGTAAGTGGTGATTCACTAGTTACATTTCCTACGCTTTATTTCCTTAGTTTTAGTTTTCTTCTGGCAAGAATTACGCCACGTTACTTGACTTCGGTGCGTTTTCTGGCCTCTGTACCTCGTACCCGTTTTGATGCGTTTCAGCTACCGGCAACGTAACGAGTCCGCCAGACTAAGTGCTTAGAGTTCCCAATGCATTATTCAACAAACACAACTCTACTAAAAAAATACAGCGCTTAGCATTGCTAGTCCCGCACGCATTCGGTGAGGCCAAGGAGTTAGCCAGGCCTGGTTACCTAGACGAGGAGCACAAGCACACTTGTTTTTTTACAACAAGCTTAGTAATAATTCGCCGTCACAGGCCACTAACTTCGTAAGCATTCCCGCGATATTCAATTTGGCTCACTTCGCCGCTTCTTTTTTTGCTTCTTCCGCGCAACAACTCTTCTTGTTGTCCAGTGGTTTACCGGAGCAGCACTGTTTTCCTTTGACATGAGCACCGCTGTGCAAAACTGTGGCCAACGCTATCTGCTGTTTGGAGAAAGGACGCGACGCTCCTCGGACTATGCATAGGTATCGGGGATATAGATGCTGCGGCTTGTGCCGCGTTTACTATCGCGCACCGCTGTTAGGAAGTCAGCTAGCCAGCCAGTGAGACGCTCAATCAGCATTTGTGTGTATGCGCTTACTACACTGCCGGTGCTCACGATTGACAATGGAACACGACGCCGGTAGCGGCTGTAGACTAGTGCCGCTGCCGTCCGCAGGGCGGATTCGCAGCAGCGACCAGGAACGTAGGCGAACACGCTCGTACGTCCGCCTTTAGGCTTGTTGCGCACATACGTATCGGTCAGTTGCTAGCGGCTGCCAAGTCCGCCTCTAGTAACACTATTCTCACAATCCCTGGCTTCCTCTGCCGCTGGATATTGCCTTAGTGTGGCCATATTGCGGGACAGGTGTTCGCGACATTGCCTACACCAACAATATAAACATGATGATGAAGACAGTAATGATTTGTGATTATACCTCTAGCGCAGGCCTTCGACGCGACTGAAACAACAACATCACCAGCAGCAGCTCCTGATCGACCTGGTGACCAATCAAGAAGGTGCAGCATTCACTTGAATCTAGCAATAGAATCAATGCTAACTAACAACAATGACAGCAAAATGATTAGGTCAGGAAACCTGAAGCACAGTACATGTTATACAACGATGTAATAGAATAATGGGCCGAATACACTGCTCCGCTGGACAGCGCTTATCGATGGAAATGGCGGCCAATACAGGGCTTCGCACGCTGTCGCTCATCGCTGTCAGATGACCCGAAGGGGCTCTCGCAGTACTAATGGTCTAGGTAAGAAAACTTGTACAACTAAAGGGTCAGTACTCTGACCAAAACCAGAAGGTCATCTAGACCTGGTAGATAGGCATTACCGCGTTTTTTAGGCGATAATAGGAGAGAAAAATATGAGCACGTAGATGCACGTAAGTACGTATATCTCATTTAAGCGGCACTCTGCGATATATTAGTCTACCGAACAAATAAACGGTAGAGGAATTCGTTTGGCTTATTATTACAGTTGCCGTTATTAGTCGTAGTAATGCCATAAACGTACAAGTTAGAGCTAACTTGCATCTTTGCTCTCGTCTGAGATAAGCTCTAGACCGAACTAAGTTTAAATAGTCAGGGCTAATGACAACTTGAACTTAACCTTCTGATGCAGCTAGTTCTTCTCATAAGCAAGAGTATTATATATTTAGCACGGGACGAATAAAAAATAAGCATAATGCACCATGATTTTGAACTGAATCCGCAGGTAAATAACGACGTACACTCTGTTTTATCGGCGCTCAACAGCTCCGCTACCCGTTCGTATTTCGGCCGAATGCGTAATGTTCGATTCACGACGCGCAGTGGGTGCTCATCGTCAGCCGTTGCTTGGACAACGCCGAAGCAGCGTTGCTGCGCTGGCCTCTTTTAGGGGAGTGCTGTTTTTTTGCCGATTCCAGCGGCGCTTAAGCGATGCTTTGCTCGTCGGTGGCTTCCTCCGGTTTATGATTTACCGGAAATGAGCCCATAAATTCGCAGCGACACTAGATGTTTGTTTAGAACCAGTACGGCTGAAGGGGTTGTATGAGGATTGTAAAGATGCATGACTCCGTCTAGAAGATATTTTTTTCGCGGCTCAATAGGTCGTCCAAAGAATGAGCTGGTAACCTGGTGCCGAGTGGAATGTGAGAATAGCTGGATCGCAGAATCAGTATGCCCCTTCGCCCGACCCCAGCGCTGGGTTACGACAGCTCAACGCGTTGTATAGAGGCATCTACACAGTTCTGTCAGCGTGTGCATAGTGGTCTTTATCCGATATTATGTCTAGATCGTGCCACACATTACCGTCTGTTCCCCAACTTGAGGAGCGGGCGAAGGAGATACGAACGCCATGAAAATCATCGGCTTCGAAGTGAACAGAACAACAGAAAATATGGCTGATGACTATACCGCTTGATTGGCACAAGACAACTATAGACAGATCAACCGACTGACGATATAGAATAATGTATTCTAAAAAAGGAAAAGTACCAAATGCAGATGTTAATACCATTAGAATATGTAAAAAGTGATTATAACCATAGGCATTATTTTTTCATCTGAAAGCGCAATCGTTATGGCAAAATAGATTGGCATTAGCGTAAATTCTATTACGGGAACATGTATGATAACCCATACGTTGAATAGCTGAACATATCAATGGACACAACCTGAAATTCAAAAGTAAACAACTACACGGAACTGCTGATCGTCGCTATCTGAAACTGAACTTTTGTTGCAGTTCGTTGACCATGACAGGCGAACCCTCCATTTCTAGCAAAAGACACCAATCCAATGCTAATTGTTATACTAGCTAATAGGACTGACATCACAGGCACCCTTGTACTTCACGAGAGTTGGATATCCTTATCTCAATAGAACTGTCTTAGAAAAAAAATCCTTTTTTGGGGGGGGAGGGGGGCTATGAATTAATATATCTCATGCTACTTCATTGTTCGAAGAAAAATAGAACATCAAACATGGCAGATTCTGGTTTCCTTTGACATTATTACGCCGCATTGTAGTGACAATGACGTTCGGCGGAATCATTCTGTTCTGAAGTGGGTAACTGGGCGGGCCGGATGATTTGCATCAATTCCACGAACATCCAACTTCGTAACGCATGCACAAATTGGTTAAAACGAACACAATAAATGGCCTGCCTTCTTACGGTTCACTAATGCGCTAGGTCTCAGTTTGGGATCTGCTTATCTACGTTGTCAGGGGGCTTTTCAAAAAGTAGGATTAACTGAGATTGGCCTGTTCCAGTCTCTCTTGTACTTATTCCTAATGCACTGAAACAAGGATGCAGCGAACAGATTAAATTTTTGCTATACAAAAAGTAATGGTTTTTAAGCTGAAATATGCAAAAATGTCTCACAAATCACTTAGGGGTACGCAAATAATATGGAATAAGCAAACACCCTCCTATCTTTATTATACATCATTTGCATATACACCCATACACTTTTTCATCCAATTAGGTCGCGAATCGGCTATTGTAGTAATATCGAAATCGTTGCTGCTTTCATCAAACAAGTAGATGCCTCCCGCAACCCGGTCGGGTTGAGGATTTAGGAGTCGATTAATTCGACGTCACATACACGTGCAAGATCGTACATGCACGAAACTTCGATATATAAACAATTTTCTCTTCTATCATTGGTCCCCCTTTTCAGCTGCGCGACCACCATCAATTTAAATCGTTCATTTTCATTAGCGATCTTTTTGTACTTTGGAAGGTTGGTTTTCACAAGAATATTCTAATTGCGATAATTGTATTCATTGCAGCTTTCCAAAGTCGGCTTTTATCACTGTTATTTTTTTGTTTGAGAATTAACCGATGTCCTACAATCGATTGCTAAAGAAATATAAATCCAAACCGGCATAGATTGAAAATAATGTCAAAGGTGAGGCACGTTCTCACCAATAGAAAGACTCTTCCTGCTAGACTTCCTGCTGGGTTTTTAACGTGTCCTTCTCTACGACCAACGTTGTTCTCGCAGTCTTTATCAAATCTCTCGAAAGTCCAGCCAAACATTATAGTTCGAACATATCTAGCATATCCGTATGCACCACTCCGCTCGTACATCTATACGGGACAGCAGGAACCGGAACAAAAAGTTCGAAATTACTGATTGACCGCCACTTTAGATCAAACCGACAGCCATGAAAAACTCGTACTTGTTTACTACCCTTTCAACATAACAAAAACAATTATACCATACCTTTGTCACAAACGAACTCATACTTCACGCTAATCTATTCTAATGTGATATTGCTCTTTGATAAGGACTAGCTTCAAACATTAATTATATATAAGTTGACAATGGAACAGGTACAGTTCACCTTCTTGACGGCTGTTAGGGCAACCGGTTCAAAAATGCAGCGATCTTACTTTCTGATAGTATCGTATAGGCATTTAAGGTAATTGTTGTTAGCATCTTTAATATGGCATCGATAACGTTTTCTTAATCAAGGACAAAAATTCAAAGGACACAATTTCTATTCAATACCTATAACGCAGGTTCGACAGCCTAAATAAGAACGCACCTGCTGGATACGCTGGTACAAGGCCGGCGTTTTGTCGCAGTTGTCGATATGTATTAGAAGGATGTAATTTGCAGCAAAGAAGGACTGGCTATAAACTAGGTGAGCGAGAAGTGTCAGGATAAATGGAGGTCTCGAGCAGTGAATCAGTAATGGCGAGTACATTTGAATCTAACGTTCAATCAGAAATAGAAAAGAAATCTAGCCCGTAGAATAGCTTATATATCTCCTTGCCGTATATATATATATATATATGCCTATTACTGAAGTCTAGTGCATATGCAAAAGCGTATAGAAATAATAGATGTAAGCAATAGAACAAATCGCTGGTTTGACCGCCACGAGACGATATTTAACGTTATAGAAAATATCAACAACAACAGAAGTACACTTAATTGTGTAAAGAAAACGTACGGCAGGTCTACAGCTGAATGATCATAGCATCTTGAAATGGTATGACAGAAACAAAGGGAGATGCTGATCATGGTGCGAAGCTTGTCATTTTCATAATGGCCAAATGATCAGATTCATGAGCACTACCAGAAGATAAACTAGGATTATCAGAAATGCGATACATACCATAAGCATGCTTAAAATAATTAGTGCGAAGGTTGTTGTGAGACGGCGACTGTCATGGTCTTCATGAGGAGCTGCATCCAGCCACAAGTTGACTATGCAGAGCAACGCCATCAGTATGATCGGGAGGGTGATCTGATCGCATATTTGTAGAAAGAATCGTAATTCGTGCTAAATTTTGGTCTAGATTTTACTTCTGCAGATTAAGTACCCTACACAGACTTTTTACGCAAACGACGAACCTTAACCGTTTTATCTTGTATTTGAGTTACTTCATTATTCGATTAACTCTACTCAATACGTACTTCAATATTATGCGTGATTGGCGGCAATGGTGTTCATAAGCTCAAACCTGATAAAGCCACTGAGAGGCACTGCGACGGATGCCGACTACAATCCTATTCTGCTTACTTGTAGTTTCCGTCCGCATGTACTGAAGGCGATAGCCTGAATTACCAAATAAATCACCCATTCGCCTGAAATGAGGCCACAATATGTATCAGTTCGGTAGTCTTTTTTCATTAATCGTGCACCCCATAATGACTTTCATTTTAAATCCGCAGTCTGGAAAAATAAATGAACAATTTTATATGTCTCGTCCAATTTACAGATTATTTAGCGATGCTGCAACGTAATTTCGCTAGCTATACGACTGATTTCCTTGTGATAAGCAGCAAAAGAAGAAGCAAACTGCTATGAACCTGTGTGTTTCACCGATCGTTTCTGAATTAGGGACCCAATTAAAGTGTAGTATTTAACTACTGGATAATGTGTACTACTCGATAAAGATAACAGAACCCATAGTAAAAGGCATGTTGTTAAATTACCTGAAATCGTGCTTAGAGTACGTGAAGTTGTGTATGTTAGCGTACTGCCCACTGTGTATTGTATCAATACTGGAAATGTCGCTAACGCACTTTAGCTGATCCGCAGGGAAAGAATCAAAGCCGTTGGCTTGCTCTTTGCACGACAACACAAGCCGGACCTGCGGACACCACTCTGTCAGGCCGTCCCAACGGATCCTAGATATATTGAATGGGGATGAAAAGTGTGGACGTAGCAAACGCGTTGTGGCGTGAAAATCAATAAAACTTTCAGTTAAAAACAGCGTTATATGATAATCACTGACCGGAGTTACTTATTGATTATCAAAATAGCTTCGGTTTATGCGCATCCGAAACAATTGAAAGATGCCAAGGCCGCGGCAAAACACTTGGCGCATTTAAAAATAGGTTTCAATGAAAGGTATTGAATAGAATAGTTGAGATCAAATTTTGTGCGGATCAAAAAGCAGATAACTCCGACTACGCGACAACTAATCCATGAGCTAGGAAGTCTTGACGTTTATTATTTAATAACAGTAGTAATGGTTCAGCAAATTAGTGTTACGTTATGCGATCAGCCGGGGGGGCTGCAGAAAGCGTTCGGCTTGATGAAAAACCATATTTTTCGTTTTCTGACCCAACAGAATTTAAATGACTTACATAACGAGCATTTTCCCGCGGCTAGGTTTCATATCATCAGCACCGAGGAAGAGGTGCGTTCCGGAGGTAAATTGGGGAGTCCATATATGATTCTTCTTCCATGATATATAGGTGATATTGCCGAAATCCGAAGGCAGCCATGTAAAAGCACTGGAGTTCCAATAGAGGCAAAGCAAAAGGTCGATCCAGAGGTCTTGGTGTTCGTCCACAGTCAAACCGAAAATTTCGTTCGCTAGACAGATATTTATCAATGTTTAGAACAACTAACATGATAATTCAACATTGTTAAGGACCTGGCCAAGAAGAAATCACTTGTCCTTTAAGATTTGGGAGGAGGGGTGTTAAGGGGATGAGTGCTATAATATCTAATTGGTAACGCTTGGTTCTTCGATCCTACTAGACATGGCTATGCTAGACATGGGCCTTAACAGCTCAAAGCTAGGAGAAATCTTGACACAAAATCTGTTATTCAACTTGATTCTGATTGAAATAGCCTACTGTTAAGCTACCGTTAAGCAATTTTGCAGCTCTCCATTATATTGTGCAATGATGTTAGTGTTGGAACACTTCTATTTACTAAATGGCCTCATTATTATATATCACTTACCTATTTTGCTAGTTACGCAATAGTTATATATTAATTATCTAAAAAAATACATTTGGCTATTTCTATACGAATGCCATTATTATAATGAGAATATTATTATTAATTTATGCTCATTTCATAGTTGGGGTATGCTAAAAGCATCAATAAATGACATATATGTATGTATTTTGTACACTGATGCTGGTGATGTCTGCCTGTCCGACACTACGTTCAACTGTCATCTTCATTCGAAAATAGTTGTTTTTGACCGATTACCGGATCAATCTATATATAATATATGCGCCTATAACCTATACATCGGCCTGGCAGAGTTGGATGAGAAAAAAAACCTATATGATATCTACATACGGAAAACGTTATTATCTATTCACAGTATTTAATAAGAGAATATTTATAATAATATTGTCGTACGTTTAATCGTAATGTTGATTAGGAGATTCTTCAGATCACTGGCACTGTCCACGGGCGGCACGTGAACATCGAAGTCTCGAAAGTAGTCGAGCAACTTCACTTCCGAAGAATATCTAGGCCAAACACGCAAAATAGATATTAGCAGATACTAACATATCGTTAACTCAGTAATCTTCCTGTGGTGAACTTAGTCGAGTACCGCTACATCGTATCATGTACAAATAGGGTATGAATTATATTTCAATACGAGCGTCTCGTCGTACCCAGAAATACTTTTCGAAATATGGTCGATTGATTCATTCGAGCTTTATGTCTAGCACCGCTTTGGTTAGGCATCGTTCCAGATGACTGGCTCGTTCCAACGCGACGTTTTCAACATTGACCTTTACGTGTCCTAGAGATGAGTATGCGAAATCGTTCTCCTACGCTATCATTTGACCGAGCAATCACCTTTATATACAGCTTCAAAACAAGTGTAGCACACAAAATTTTCGAAATCTATTACACAACTACTGATATTCGTATGGGTTCAACTCGCACGTTCATCCTCATTGTTACGTACTTGGCATCATTAGCAGCTCGTGCAAGTGGGATGATCTTGGTCATAGTCAGCAAAGGCACCATAAGCACAATGACTGTTGACAAAGAACGCAGCGAAGTTCGACGATAGCTAGACGCTGCTGGTGACGCCATTGAATTTCGAACGTTTTTAAGTTTACGAGATCAACCCTTACGCGTTACGGTATTACGGAATTACAGTTCGAAGTTGCTCCTCCTTGTACAGTGCGATATCGAACCTAAAAAATCGTTCTCACTTTTGTGCTTTCGGAGCTCCCGGGAAGGTAAGTTGGATTCTCGCTTGCTTTTATCACATAATAATAACAGTAATATATATAGCCTATATTTGTGTTGCTAACGGATAGAGAGTCGCAACAGTCGCCGATTGGAAAGCTTAATAAGCAGTTTTTCCAATCTGTGTCATTGGCCAGTATTGGCGCTGTTCTGGTATTTGTCGAATACTCCCAGTGGGTTTCACTCTAGCTAATATTTGTGGGCGTTATCTTTCATTGAGAACTTTACTCGACAGTAAAACACAGCCTTACAATGTGGGATGCTCCTTATTCGTTTTGATATATTACTTCTCTAAGGAGGATGCTACATTGCCGTATCAAGTTTACGCGAAAAAGCATACAGAATAAAGGCTTCTATAAATGCAAATGACAAAAAACGCAAATAGATATTCAACGATTGTCAAAAACCAGAGCATGGAAGAAAGTTGACATTGTGATGGATGAAGCTCCAACAGGCCTTAGAACGAACGAAGGGATCTGTTATATTTAGATTGGTAGATAAGAATAGCTTTAATTCATTCACACACGTTATTTACACGATACCAACCCTTATATAAATACATTACGTTTGCTGGACGTAACAGGTATGGCAGCGATAGATATACTCAATAAGTAGAACTGCACGTCACGATTTTATTGGCGGAAAGGTTCGACAACTCAGAGATACTTACATAGAATAAACTAATGAAAGTAAGACCTTATATAGGGCCTATATAGGGCAATGCAAGCTTAAACATTCAGCGGCAAATATTAGCACGTATTATTGAGTATTTGAGTTTTTGTCTTAACTGTTACGGAGAGTAGAAACTCTGATAGAATAGCTTCGATACAATCGATGAACCCAGTATAACGCCTTCGCACCTTATTTTTATCAGTCCTTTTCAATGGTTTTACAGGTTCTTTAATATATGGTACGTTCTATTTCGCTATTCTTACATACTAAAAATAACTATCGGGATATATATAAACCGTGTCGATCAATATTTTTTCACAGGAAGAAGTATCCGAAGCGGAACAAATCAAGTAAAATAAGGGCACTGAGTATCAGTCTTACAACTTTTTTTCTTTGAGGTTGAGGTCAAATGCATCATGCAGACCAAACTTCACAACTCTGTAGTTTGTCTGATGTTGTGGGACTCTTACCCGCTAAATCCTGGACCCTCGAAGACTTGGGCTTTGGTTCGGGATATAGTTTAATATTACTTCGAAACCATATGTTGCAGGGACAGGCGTTGGACGATTATCCCCTCTGTCATATTCCGGTCCATCCTCCGTTCGGGCTTCCCTCCTTCCCAAGTACACTAACTCCCGGGCGGGGTGTTGTGCTCTGCTCATAAAAGCCGACTGCTCGTCTCGAGCTTGTCCTTCCGTTAGTCTTTCGCAGCGCATTCTTTCGAGCTGTTCCTTTTTTCATAATGTCCTCAAAGAAGGCCGTAACCTTATTCCAATTTCCCCTGACCTTCTTCGTCATTCCATTTACACTAACATTCATTGATACCTCTCTGTGTGCCTGCTTATCCCTGACAGCTAGTTAGCGCCTGACAGTAAAGCACAGTGCGCCTTACTCTGTCTTTCGTGCCCAGTGTGCAAAATACGCAGGTGTCCGCTTGTGCTTTGCGCCAAACTGCCTTGCCATTTTATTGTCGACAGAGCGCTATAATTGAATTGGTCGTTATCCGGGTCGAGGTTCCGCCCAAAAATCATCATTGGTAGCTGTCTGCGAAGTTCAGCCAAGCATAGTGATTCGAACTCGTTCGACGTACTTTTGAACGGCGCTGCTTCGATGCATCTAAAGAACAAATAACGATTACAAATAGAAGTAAACATGAATAGCTAAAGAGATTAGCAGTGTTTGCTGTCACTGCATAATCTATGCAATGGTATGAAAGCCACACTTTTCAACCAAAACGCACACCGACTGGGTTATTATACCCAACGGATATGGCCCATACAGAACTATTGCGATAAAAACCAATCTGTAAGATCTTATCAAATTTCGTTAGGTATCACCTGAATGCATGTTTCAAGTTGTAGGTCCTGTACTACCTTAAGACAGCTGGCTTCTTCGAACAGAAAATAAAGTTTGTCTGCACCCAGATAATTTTTGTCTCCCTTGTTTATTATTATTACTATTAGGACTTATTATACACCTTATATATTCTGTTACTGGAATTGTTAAATCAAGTTTCGAAATAGATTTCTTTTAGACCGACTCGTTCAATTTGTAGGTAGAGTTTAAGAATTCGTTCACAGGAACGAGGAAGACAAATAAGACCATGAACACAAGCTGACGAGAAACCAGATCGCTAAACAGCATAAAAATCAGTGGAGGTTTAAGGCAGTGCGCTAAGGGTGGTGCGTACGTCTGGATCTGAGACGGCCACGAATTCCGACCGTGAATGATGTGTTAGAGCTTATCCTGTCCAATACATTGATTGTAGACATTAATATTGAACTGAAAATAGCTGATCATTGAAAAAACAGTATATACCACAACTCCGTTGATACGACTCTGTCGCAGAGCGCTTGTCTTAAGCATGTATTAACCTAACAGTACAAACAGACTCCTTACTATTCACTGTAACAGGTTTTTAGAGTTAAACCCGTTATTTTTTGTTTTTTTTTTAGAAGCCGTAGAGTTTGCAGGCTTACATTTACTTAATAGATTTTTCGATACTTTGTCAAAACTGGTTGAAACTGTAGCTTTGACATGTCGATACCCTTGACGATTTGCGAATTGGTAAGCTATACAGAGTTGCGGAAGACTAACGATAATCATAAGATTCCCACGATCGTGTATTAACCTGAACGGTGACAACGGTGATCAAAACAAATGTGGATACGAGGCGCCGCTCCGAAATTAAACCCGACTTAGGAACGGCATCCAATCACAGATTCAGCAAACACCAGCAGCTCAGCAATTCAGAAAAAAGAGCCAGGGTCAACTGAAGTACACGCACAAATTATGAGTTAAATGCTGACAAAAATGTATCATAAACTTAAGTAACTTGAATGTGGCTCAGTGAAGATATAAACCACTTATCAATATACATAAGTTGATAACGCTTGATGTTCTACATCTCTTCCAATGATGACCTCCCATGTATCTTGGGCATGACGAAACAGATATATAGATACTTTGACGCAACATACAACGTCTGTGAATCAGTTTATCTGTACACATATGAGACAACTGAGCACAGCATTCGTACATGTTATCCTAGGAGCTGGGGTAAGCGACTCCGAAAAAAACACTTCACATTAGTATACATTATATACTGGAACATCTAATCCTGAGTGCAATGTTTCATAGAAAATAAATGAAATTTTATAAGCTTTGACAAAGCCATTGGCGTGCACTCCGGCGGATGCCCACTAAATTTTTCACATTAGCTTCGTCAATGACTTTCATAAACTCGAGATAATCAACGAAAAGATCGCCACCCCGTCTATATATAAATATAATTTTTTTTGTATTGCATCTTTTTTCTACGCGTATTTTTGCATAATACACTAAGGCTAGATAGCGATTGACACCTGCTTAGGTGCGTAATATTTGGTAACAGAGCTGTCTGTTTAGTAGGCCGATTGGGCGCTTTTTTTTTACCCTTAAACATCAAGATTTGTGATATAACACAAAATATATATAAAACAGAGCGTTTAGGAAAAGTAACAGCGCCAAACTGATTAAGAATTAAGGACATCTAATTACAGAGAAAATTCCGTACTTTTCTGTAATGTTTCTAACTAATGTTTAAAGACCAACTTATTAATTCAATTTATCTTTAAACAGTTGACTAATATTATTTAGAAACGAACGTTTTTTATAAGAAAATTCACAAGTATCATTTTCGGCAGAATTATCCTATAAAAAAAGTTCACCTTTAGATCTCGACAGAATTCCGAATACAGTCGATATTCCAGCTTGCGTATCAAAGGACATAGCTATCTAATAGCAATCGTTAACTATGATACGAGGCATCAGTGACGAAAGCGGAGTGTGTTTTTGCAATATACGTGCTATTATTTGTATACATTTAATGAAGCTTTGGCGCAAAATCGTTCAGCAGAAACCAACGTCAGCTCATGTTTCTACACGCTAACAGGATAACTAATCAAGCTAGATTTCTCCAAGTAGGAATAGATGAGATGTTTCGCCTACAAATATTACTGCCTTTTGAGAAAGTTCCACTACGAAACTTATATAAAGATAACTGGTATCTCTTTTCATCGATGGCCAACCTGTGTTCTAGTTAGACACCGGCGCAAAAATGATCACACTTCACAACTAAGGATTGATCTAATATAAAATTATCGGTTAATGAGAAACATAAGCATCGAGATTAAACATTTCTATCATTCTACGTATCGCTATCACTTCACTTCAGTCGGTCAACTGAAAAGAGATACTGACAATAAAAGCAGATCTTATTGAGGTACATAGTCATTCGATCATATATTATGTTACATAATGTCCCTGCTATTTCAGTTTTCGGTAAGAATATATTGAAACAAATTGGACTTCGCTAGTTTAACTTTCTGTCCCATTTTTAGGCATGTTTGAAATTGAAAGTTTACTACAATTCGAATAAATACAGATTACATGAAGTCTCTTTTCGAAAACGTACCTGCTCTTATGGACACAGGTGGTATTTCGAAATTCCGACCTGGAGCGCTGATGTTTGTTTCGCAATCGAATTCATTTGCTGGAATAACCAGTTTTCCGAGACAGGCATTGCAGCCTGGGGGCACCACTGTACACCAAATGATATTATCACCAGTCTGTATCTTTTTTTAGCATAAAGATAGCAAAATTCGACACAGACTTAAAATAATAACTGAACGCAGGTTGATCTCAAGGTAAGAGTTTGTATATAACAGGTCATCATAGGCGATTAACTAAATAAATGCTCGCTTTTCACCTAGTGAAGTGGTGTACGGACGGTGGATTTATCAGATGAGAAGTGTGATCAGATAAAGGAACAAATATAATAGATAAGCCTTTGCCGTAGGTGCGTGTTTTTTTTTCTGAACTGTACGCGCACGTCCGATTGCACTTACGTAAGGGGAGGCGTTCTAATGATTGGGCATTGGTTCATTTCGAGTTTGTGGTGAGAATTGCTGTCAAGACCGATGTTTTCATCATCTAATAGTGGGATAGATCATTGAAGTCGATGGGATTCCATGTAAGAGCATTTGAGTTCCACCCAAAGTATTCCATCGTCATCCATACCTAACCCGAAAATTTTGTTCGGTGGATCTGTAAATAACGCTAATAACTACATTCACCCTTTACTGTCTCATATTAATGGACCTCTTGTTCCGCAAAGTTCATAGAGGTTTTTATCTACTAAGTATGACGCTCAACACCCATATAATCGTATCAAAAAAGCCCCAATATTTAGCTCTCCTAAAAACATTTCTTCCCCATACTTATTTATTAGGGTTTTTAATCTTACAAATAATTCAAAATTATACAAAACTATGCCGTAGCATCGTAGCCCTAATCATCCCAGCAAGCCTCTGTAGCTGTCGGTTGCGTAAAACTGTTTGCTATAGGCTTTCAAAACTGTAGACCTTTAATGAACAGTGAAAAAATCAAGTATATTTTAAGTTATATAAAGCCACGGAACAGTAGTAGTACGAACGATCAACGTTGACGGTATAACGAGACTTTTCAGACCAGCGGCCCTGTGGACGGATCGCACGAAATTATCAAACGCATACAAATCCGAAGTTGGATACGACTCAGGCGAAGATCTGAATCAGTTAACGAAGCAAAGCTGCAATCGCTTCTGCAAGGTCGACCAAGGAGACCACATAAATCGTTCTGAAACGGAACATCCTACTGGCAGAACTCGTTGTGATGGTAGTAATTTGTTCGATATCGCACCCGTTTTACCATACTTATCATGAGATCATATAAAGAGTGTAAGAAATTCCCATAATATTACAACACGAAACCAAATGAATCAGTTGTCGATATTTTTCCTTAGTAACAAGAAATAGCAGGCCGAACAAAAACTTTGCTTGACATTGTTCTTTTCGGACTAAATAAAATTACGGCATCTATATTTATCCAGAATACGAACCTACGGCATATGTTTGCCTACAGTCAGTAAACTGAGTAACGAGATGATGGCCACAGGACTCAGACGCCCGACACAAGAGCCACGAAGACCGAAACGCGTTGCCTGCGATATTGTTACTTAAGTTCAAACGCGTTCTATAGAACCGAGGCTAAATTTAGCTAATAGAAAAACAGTGGCTCCGACACGATAAATCGTATTATTATTAATTAATTATTGTAAAATAATGAACTAGTCAAATTCCAGTTCGATCTCTAATACATTGAAGTCGCGAACAGAACTAAGGTTCAAACTCGCCTAAAAAGGACGCATCTGCTTCGACCATCTGTGGTTGTCTCTACCAACCGTCGAATGCTTCCCGTAATAAGCCTTAATAATATCCGTAGGCGTTGTCAATTGAAATGCTAGTGTGTTAGGCTATGGAACGCCACTGCTTTCAGCCGAAAGCTGGCGCTGCTCGTGTGTTTGTGGCGTAATGGCCAACGGGGCTATTGGTATCTTGTTAAGTGGCTTTATTTATCTACAAAGCTATGCCAGAACAGTTTCCCCGTGCATTGCCGGAAGTAATATAATCAAGTAACGTCTTCTTAGTTATTTCAATGTGTCAAGTATTGACGAGCGGGCTGAAACAATCAGGTTTAGGATCCTAGTTAAGATAAATTTAAAATATTAGGCTGCCTTCTTAGCTTCCCTTTGTAGTTCGGTAAACAGGGCCTCCGACATTGCCTTGGTTATTTGCAGTTAGTTCTTAGAAAATAGAGAGAACGCTTACGATACTCGTAACGCCTCTCAAATCACTTGACATTATTAGTATCACAGCAACCGAATCTATCGGGTGGGATTAGACAAATCCAATAGGGCCGTCACTGTCAAAATTACCACTATTGAGCCATCCTTAAATCACATTACGGGAACAACAGCACGCTTCTAAGACCAATCATTCGAAAGTTCGTCGACAACAACCGAGCAAACAAAGCGTGTTTAACATGAATCTGTCTTATTGCTAACCTCGCTAATGACACGGACAGCCCAATGGTGCTGATGTCATTTAAATACTTTTTGGCTAGTTATTTCTAAAGCAAATAACAATAAACGATGTTTGTTCTTTACGTACGATACACGAACCGTTTATAGCAGGTGCACGCACAACATACACGCAAATATAATCGTCATTGTTAGGTTTCCGTACATTTCACAGAAGTGAATTCTGTGAAAGAAGAAGAAGAAGAAGAAAAAAAAACAGAAATGTTTCAACATCTGGACATGAAAATGATGAGATTTTCATTGTTAGTCTTTCTTGTTTCTGTATAGCTTGACCTATATATTTTGTCAATAATAGTCAATAAAATATCACTACTATGTAATTTCTGTGAACACTAAGTTGTAGCATGCTACTGCAATGCCTGTGTAGTTTTACTGAACTAGCTGCAGTTATCTTCATTTAATACGGTAAAATAGTGCCAGGTATTTGCTTAATGCCAGCCTGAGCATCCCTGCCCAGTGGACGGGTTTGTTAGCAAACGCTCATGATATGATAACTACGTGAAGGTGGTTCAAACCAAAAACCGTTTGGTGTTTATTTGAAAAAATAAGTTGTTAAGAAACGCCAACCGTTATGTAGTTCGCACAACTTTGATAACCCACAAACGCCGTAAGGCCGAGTTAACAACACGTCTAGACGCACTGAAAAGGTCTTGAAAATATCCTATAATGCATCGAATACTACGAGGTAGGTGTCTGACATAAATATGAAGTAGTCGTCAGATTCTGATTAATGTTATTATTATTATACTTGGCACATAAAATACGAGCTATGTAGTTCAGACGCGTCTATTGCATGACTACACTCCAGTACCACCGATGTCTTAAAGTAGATTTGGTCAAAGCAATTCCAATACGCTAAACCTTAGCAGGGCAAAAACACATTTTAGAGATACGCGTAGATTAGATGTATGTATTTTATTTGTTGGTTATTGATCTTAAACATAGCTCCTGTTTCATGCTTTTGATGCAGATACGCTTGTTAGTTTAAGTTTGACAGATGCTTTTAACATGGAAGTTTCATTTCATGCGCATGTGTGTTTCTTGAACAAACACTTTTCCAGCACCAGCATACATTTCCAAAAACGGTATGATAATAAATTACGGCACGAGTCAGCCTCTTAGTAAATTGAATTAGCGATGATTTCGTAGATGACTATTGTTCAGAAGGTCCCTTGAGGGTCACGTACTTTCGTTGTGTGAACTGTGAAATCTCTTCCCATTGACTTTATCGATCTCCAAACTTCCACAATATTAACCGAGAGAAGTCAACCTGCAGCGGTTCGTGAAAACACTCATATTTCATGCTCTATAATGCATTATTAATTTTATATTTGTCGAGTTGACCGTTTAAGCTTAATTCAGTTTGTCAAAAAGGGATGCGAACAAAATCTATATCTTCCTATAAAAACAACTCAAACAACACAGTAACAGTAATTATCGCTCTCGTTAGAAGTAACACGATTTGTGCCAAACTTCTTTAGCAGTTGGCCCTGTATTATACTTGAAGAAGCTCATATTTTTGCCGGGTCTGCTTTCGAAATTATTCTCAATGAGTAGTTTTTTACGGAGTTCAAGCAAGTAGGGTAATGCGAACTCGCACGACGAATGTTTAAGTTACGCGGCATAGGCATATCCAACCAGCAAACAGAAATTATAAGAATAAGCAAACACTATTTTATTTCATATAGGTTGAAAAGGAGCTAGCATTTTCTTTTGTTCTACAAAGCAAAATTTCTATGGCGTCGCCGCAGGCTTGCGTGATACAGTGGAAGACAAGAGAAAATAACTGCTCGTATATTAAATTTGATTTAATTAGTTTGGCTAAGTGTAATGTTCTTTCTTCCTATTTGCTTGGTATTTCTTAGTCGTCAATCTAAAACAGTCTTCTGGGGTCTTTGATACATTACCTATAGTGGTAATGTAGATTACAGCAGTGATTTATCCTCTGGCGAAACTATATGGCACAGTTATGATGATAGTTCTTTGAACTGAGCGAGGACAATGTCCAGCGACAGGTTCACAATGCAGGGAATCGAAATGGAGACAATCTGACGCAGTGACTCAGATTGGATATGAACAATTTTTAGCGGCCTTAAACAGATAGACAAACTTAGAAGATGTGCCTCCCCCTCCGAAATGAGAACGCAGATAAAGTTCGACGGCGTGCTTGTTCGTACCTGAATATACAGGGCGGAATAAGCGTTTTTCAGCAGTATGAAAATATATGTACATACGTGTGGGCCAGTCGAAAAAGTAAGTATTAACGGTGATTTTAAAATCTCACATCTTGGATAATTTAAGTCGCAATGGCATCATTTGGAAACTGAAATTTAACAGTGCAGTAGATGGTATAACTTACTTCGTTGAAACACGAATGAGATTCGTGTAACGATTCACTATATTTTACAGTGTTATTACGATAGGGGCACACAAGCTCATATAAAGATGTATTCTTTTTATGGTCCAGATGCGTTACTAGAAGAAACGGTCCGAAAAGAGGCTCTGACGCTTTCGCTGTCGAAACTCCGACGTGCGTTAAATGTTGTTCTTGCAGTGGTTAGGTAATGACGAAGACGTCGGTAAAGATATTGCGAAAGTTGACAAGTAACAAGTAGCCATGGTATTGCCAAGGAACTAAACATCTACTGTTCAGCTGTGTTGAACTATTCGAAGGAAGGCTCCAAAAAAAAGGTTGGACGTTTAGCTGCCACACAAAATAATTCCATCTGCGAAACTTGACGGAACTGCAACAGAGTCGAGCCGTTCCTAAAGCGATTGATTATGGGTGATAAAAAATCGATCATATAGAGTAAATACAAATTAATAATATATCACGAGTGCTCTAGAATCTGTGGAAAAGCCCAAAGTGATGCTATCTGTTAAGTGACAGTTGCGCGTTATTACTGACATCACTTCAAAGGACATTTTGAAAACAACGATTTAAACAGCATTTCGTTATTGTGAATCTAGTGGAGACATTGAAGAGTACAGCAGCGAGCATTCACAGTGATACTGTATTGTTTTTGTCTTTACATGTTTTACAAAGCTGTTATTAAAGCTTAAATTACCCAAAAAAAACTATTTTCTTTCCAGTTATTTCTTGTTATTTGTTACAATATTGGAATGTGGCAAATAAATCTTTTCGTATGGATACTATATTGTTAAGACGCATTTTCCTAATTGGTACCACATCATTTGCCAATAGGAGCCCAAAAGGCAAAATCTCCTATTTGGCCCATTTTTTGCCAGTTTACTAAATTTAGCTACATTCTACAAAATGAGCGACTTTTACCATTTCACAATGGATGACAAAAGGAACGAATTGAATATTTCGATCCCCTAAAATTCTAACTAAGCCTAATAATATGGCCAGCGCAAGGTGAACTCTTCGACCATCATTTATTGAATCCAGATTCATTAGCCTTAGTTCGCCGCCGAAATCCTCCGCTACAAAAACGTTAGAATTCACAACGGCATCCGTCAATGGCTGGCCAGACTCCGGTCCGAAGAGCCGCATCAGATTTTCATGATACGCACGACAAAATTCGTTCAGCTTTCTATGCGATCGTTGAGGTGAACTCGGAAACAATGCTGTTCATTGCAGTCATCAACAGTACGAGCAATTTACACTAGAGTGCAACGACTTTCTGAATTTCATTCAAGGGGGCCGCTGAAGAGGATTATATAGACATGAGTGAAAACTGGTGTATATGTACATGATCTCTGACGTTGGCGGAATAATAGATGAAAGTAGCAAACGCCTAATTCTCGAGATACCAATTGGTAAAATTCGGACAAAGCAAGCATTCGTAACTTGTCGATCAATGCAAGACTGTATACGTACCTCAACCTAACGATGTATTTTGTGCACTAATGCCAAGTAGTCTATACGATCTTGTAGAATAATTAAAAAAAAGTGTTTTTTTTTTTTATCAGACAACAAATGATCACGATGATGTTGGTTAGATACATTGGGCTTGCAACGGCACGTTACGATGCAAAGCGTCTCCTTGACACGTGGACTTTACATACAGGCCCAACGCATACTACACAAAAGCGTTTTTCCCTGAGTAAGTATCATCATAGCTGCACTCGTCTCATCTTAAATAAATTAAAAAGAATATGTAATTTTTATTAAGAGCCCGCGAAATGGTAAAAATCATCGCGCATATTTTGACACAGCCAAATAAGCAGCCCCCGCGGTTCCTGCAGAACGTTACGATGTACATCATCAATTCAAGCCGAAGTTATTTAAAATTAGAACCGATTCTGAAATTTCCGCCACAAATATATAATCTATTTTAAAGCCACAGGGTCCAACGCAATAACTGGCATGGACAAGAAATCAACAAGGTCAAAAATCTCTTTCAGTGGTAAAAAAACTAGATATATACCATAGTTTTCTTTTACATATATACTCGATTACAAATATACGTTTACGGTTTTCAGGTAAACGCTTATATACGAGTGTAAAAGAAACGTGTAACAAATAGTTCATTAGCAGATTTGAATATCTTCGAAGTCATCGGTCTTCGGGAAGGAACTTTTTATACGTGCAATTACTTGAAAAACGCGAGTCTGTTCCCGCGTCCTGTAGTACATGAAGCGATCTAAATATGTAAATAAAAAATTCACTAAATCGGTATAGATACAGCAAGGTCGGATCATTTGGGGGTCTGGCTCCAAACCTGGGCGTAGACACACGTTTTTCCACAGCCGCTTTGTGAAATGCCTGACGGCGGTACTGGACGTAAAATTCAGCACACTTCGATCGTTTGTACGGAGAAAATTTACACACATCACGCTAAGTCGGTAGATAATTTTACACAGTTTTCAAATTGACACCGCAAAAACTTACTAGCAATTGCCACCGCTTTGCATCGGTAACCAACGATCGTCGAGACAATCCAACAACTGCAATGGGACAATGTAATATTTGGGCAAATCGACCCATTCTATTAATCACTCACTTAGCCCATAGCAGACCGATGTGGCAGTTGAAGGTAAGTACAGCAACGCATTTCAGCCTATAAAAACTCTTAACGTAATAATTTTTGTTTTACACTTAGTCTTGACCTTGGCAACGAGGCTGCTAGGATCGACGATGCTTCGAAGTACGATATTAATTTTGTCTCTGCGGCATGCGCGGATGATAGAAAATCAGGACAAAAATTAGAAATCTAAAGGCAATTTTTAGAGTTGTTATTATTAGATTTTTATTATTTTACTAGATTTGTCGCGGCAATATGTCTGATAAATCAAAAAACAGAGCGAGAAGAATAAGGAAAAAGGTCTTTCTATTTGAAGAAAAAGGATAGAAATGATGTCTACGTGGTCATACGCATGGCTAAACGTTGCTTGCGCGAACGAGTTCTTGAACAGTTAGAATCATCACGACCATTTACCACCCATCCTAAGCCCATGACAACACCGTTGTGCAAGCGGCTTTCTAAGATTGCTGTTAAAATAGTCAATAGCAATAAAGACACTTGTGTCAACTTGGTAGGGCGGGAGAGTAGCGGTCTTGTTTAACTGAATTTACAAAAGCCTTTAGTAAAATTAGAACCCTTGTCTTATGTAACTTCAGCGGATCTACACGCTGCCTACGTGAGTGCGAGTACTCCTGATGGTGGCTTTCGGTGTTGCTTGTGGGCGTCGATGTATTTGCTAGCGTTCGCTCATAGAGAACTGTGTTCAATATTAACTATATTCTCCATAGAGTTTCATTGCAGTGAAACAATTAGTTCCTTTGTAAATGTTACAAATATATTTTCTACTTTCTTTATTAAGTATTTTTATTTATTAGAGTATTTTTATTCTATAGAAATCGTAATTATTCGTGTTGAATAGTATCTCTAATAATAGAGTTGGCAGTCATACACTTCGGTAGTTAATTTAGGCTAGACTTTAATTATGCATTAGAAAAATGATGACACTCTTGACACCATTTAGATTGCTTTTATTCATCAATTGTAACGTAATAATAAATATAGGCACAGTATGTTACATAAACAACTATTTCTTTTTTTTTTTTATCTATGTTGTGCAGGGTGAAGGCAGGTAGGAAAAAGGATATTACTTTTCAGAAGTTCATTTTTAATCTGACGAACCGCATTTCAATGAATCACACTAAGACATACCCCCCTGATCCGTGCCATGCCCATTTTAGCTCGTGACCATTTAAGCAACTCAGATTTCTATTCTTTAAACAATACATCTGATCGATCAGGATTCGTCAGATCAGCATTACAGGTGGCCCTCTGATCTTCAAGGGCGTTTAATGACTCATATACATATATATTTTAAGAACAAAGCTGGACCATGGAGGGCATCTAAGATCGTTGGTGTGTATATATTTTAATACCCATCGAGTATTCACGCCGAATGCTGCAGTGCGGACTTTTCCTGTTCAGTTTGGTACAATCCCCTACACATGGTATCAATTGCCTATACTGCGCATGTACGTGCCATACTTAATCAAATGGTCACCTAACCGAAATATGAAGGATATCGACGTTTTTGATCCAACAAAAGCCCTGCGTTTCTGTGCAGTTCTTTAGAGGGTACCACCGACCGCAGTGCACCTCTTTCTAGGTTAACAGGCGATAGCAGCGCTATGACAGGTGCGACCGCTGAGGGCGCTGGAACAAGTGGAGCATCGTCCTGAAAATAAGGAGTCACTGCTAAATATTCATCAACGCTTATTTTTGCATCCTTCTATCGCTAGAGATTTGCCAAAGACAAAAGTCAATCTAGAAATATGTAATATTTTAGGATTCTAACCCGGGCATGGACACACTTCGTTTCGTGCTGGGGACCAGCATTCTGAAGCAATGCCTAGTTAGCGAAAGCAAAGTTTAAAACATTTACGAATCGGCTTATAGTAATTCACTTGCAGCTCACTCGTACAGCTTTCAATGAAGTTTCTTGGTTGTGTTTTATAAGTCAGAAAAATAAGAAGACACATAAAACGTATAATTATGGCCGCAACTTGTATTTTTAAATTGAGAGGGTAAACGAAAAATAAAAGTATACCAGAAGAGGTGCTATTCGTTAACGTTTAATATATTCAAAGTTCGTTACATTATGGCTAATTATAAGTCAACATTCTGATGTAATGGTCAACTCGTTCCTTAGAGAAACGCTTCATCGAAATTTCACTTGCAATCTACGCGTATCAATGTCAGATAAAAAAAAAAAAAAAAAAAAAAAGCAATAACGCTCATATATGATTACCTGGAAGAATTGTTCATTGTTGTCAGTTGTAATAACGATATTGTCTTGGGTACCGCCAAACAGTTGGCGAATAAGCATCTTAGGGGTGCGCCGAATCGGTTGTGCAGTTAAGGTAGGCATATGCATAAAGTCCTCGGGACTAAGCGGTTTGCCGACAGGTATCCAGGACGAGGTAACACGTGGCACTTTCGCCGGCAACGCCATTGAGTGGTTCGGCAATTGAGGCCGTGTCGTTCCTTGAACAGGTCGTAAATAAGGCTGGTAGTACTTTGGCGGCATTATAGCAGCAGGAATCGGCTGGGACGAAACGCCCAGATGTTGGTTTCGGTACAGATGCTGTAGCGGCGGTCGCTGCGGGATAACGAACGAATTGTTGGACGATTCAGAATAACCTTTTTGGGCTCTCCTTTGTTGATCACCTACGTACTGATCTCGATACTTCAGATTAAGAGGTGAATTGTTTTTAGAGTCTTTAGCTGGCTCTTGTCCAGTGCCGGAAGCATTTTCTTTGCTATCACCAGAAGAGTTGTTCGTTGGGGACTTTTGCAAGGAGTTTAAGCGAACTAACTGGGTTGACATAGCCTTGGAATCGATCGAATTGATATTGACTCCTGAAATCGGAGTGACTCGGATAACAGGTGGAAGCTTGACAACTTTATTCTTCGTTTCATGCGGAATAGAAGGCACCGCAACCCATCTTCGACCCTGCAGGAAAAAATTAGCCCACTTATATAATTGGCTAGATGGTCGCATAACTTATTTGTAAGAATGGACCACTTTAGTACACCATAAGATAATAATGTCTAAAGTCTGATATCGAATTCTACAATGCGTATGTGACCATGTTGAGCAGTAATCTGTCGTAACAGTAGGTTTAGAAAAGAAAATTCACTTATGAAATTAACTTACTCTCGAAAACATAACTCGAGAAGAGAGTTCGTTTACATTGCAAGCGCTCATAGGTAAAGTTGTTATTTGTACTTGGTAATTAGCGCTTTGCCTTCGATGAATTTGGAACAAGCAGACCTCTTTATCGACAGCTTTATCGACACTACTTTTTATATTTCGATAACATGCGATAAAGGATCCCTTGTGTTACATTTCCATGTTACCGAAACAGGAAGCTGTCTTAAACGATCTTTTCGAGGTCAAGATAGTATAACAAAAACGATCCGATCTTGTTTTTTCAAGCATTGGATCATCAATAACGTTTCATTCGTGAATTCGCCTGCGCAAACGAGACCACTGACCAGATGTGGGCTGGCCTTGAGACATTTAAATGCCGATTCAAATAGTACCTATCTGAACCTAAGATATAGCAAAACCCTTCGTAAATGCAAGTATTTATTATATATATTTATTAGATTTCAGGCTTTTATAGCCCACTTTAAGGAATATTTGAGGTATTCAGGGACTGACAATTCGGAGACTATTGGCATTGTTACCCAAATAATTACCTAATGACAGACTAATGTGCCATTAATGGGAACATCGGAGCGCGACAACCCACCTCATATTGCTGATTATTGAGAATGGAAAGTGGCAGCCGAGCAATCCCGACGTGTGGCATGCCCAAGATGGCGCCCAGGTTAACGAACATCATCTGGTCTCGATCGCTTGTTATTATAACAGGTTCGCGTCTTTTCTCCTGCGCGAATGAACCAGGACCTGATAGCAGTGTTGAGCCGAGAATACAGGCGTAAGATATTGGTTACTAAGTAGATCAACATTTCATGAATCGGGACTATTTGAACGACACAAAGAAGATAAACGTTTTTTGCGCGCCCGTCAAGTTGAACAGTATCAATATACGGAAGCAACCGGAGTACTGTGTTTATGCGAATATATTTAAGTTACAACCCCTTTTTACTATTCTCGAAGGCCTCTAATTAGATCAAACAGACTACGCTGTTGATTTATTCTCTTGTCCTGTAAGATCATTTTTGCTAAATTTGATTATTCACAGAAATTATTATATTGTTTTGGTTGCTCGTTATGCGCTTGTTTTTACACGGGCGTATTTATATTATCCTGACGTTCAGTAAAACATATAAAAAAAATTCATAAGATAAGATTTTGACACAGAAGCCAAGACGAAAAAAGAACAATAACATTAGGTTAAACTAAGCATTACTTAAGTTCAATCTCAGATAGCTGTAAGCTAAAATCCATGACATGAAACACTTAAGCGGACGCAATTATGCAATGATCAACATCGCCACTAGACATGCGTCCTTGAGCAAGCTTAAAGGACACGCATCGTTTTCAGTCCATGAACTCACCTAAACCTTTGCCGGGTTTTCGATATAGCATCCCAGTAAATGTGCGCACTGTCTTCTGATTTCCTTGTCCCATGAACGGCTCATGACTATTTTGGGGCACCTCTATAATTCGTACTTCATCAATATCCTGAAGTTCTTGTAGGAGAGCATCGCTGACTTTTATACTTTCCAGATTTATCAAGTCCTCACTAGTAAAAGCACCTTCGGCGGTGACCAACACGAACACAAGTAAGCATGCCACTAAGCCCCTTAGTTTCATTCTAACACCCAAACATATGCAATTCTGGTCACCCATAGCCACTTCTCGTACGAAAGTTCCGGTTCACGTGTCAGTTATTCGATACGGATATGATTGTTTTCTTTAACCGTTGTTCGATAATCCGTTTACTGATATCGAACTAGTTGATTAAGGCAAAGTCTAGATTTACCGCAGTTGAATGGATGCTTAATAGATGGTACCTAATTTGATGTGAGAGTCACTGGCTTCATATAAGTTGTGTGCGAGTACGACGGAAACGCGTCGTAGAAGTTTTCGAACCGGTAACGCATTTAGTTTATATATGGCCATTGCTATTTCAGGGGTTGTGTTCCCCAATCAGTCAGCCTCTCTTATGTGGGAGGATGAAACCGGCTCAGGGAAGTTCGCTCATTCCTAAACGATTGGCAGCTTTTTAACGTTCCACCACACGAAATGTTCCATGGTTTTTGTTGGTTCGTAGCGACATCGTCGAGCACGAATAGAAATCTTACTAACTCCCCACCGCAGACCACGAGTGAACAATGCTGACGACGAAGCAGTTGCTGGGAGAGACATCTAAATGTTTTTCTTCTGTGGCTTTCGGGGTTCAACTTTGACATTACTCGCTGGCGGGGTACACAGCAGATTCCGTTAGGTCAGTGGCAATAGCGAAGTCAGCTAGAAACAGGGCTCATTTTGGCAGAAGAAATTGTAATGTCCGCTTGCGTCGCTAACTGGAACTCAGATGAACGTGTGCCTCGTGTGCTTCCGATAGGGAGACACCTCCGTGTGTGTGTGTGTGTGTGTTACAAGGGACTTCCCGTCACGAACTTTCCGCGACGCTGAGATGTTTAGCGATGCGGTTCCGTCTGTGTGTATGTGTTGGCTCATAACTATACGATAATGGGAGCCTGCTTTTTAGGTTTCGTACGATATTTCCAGTATAAATACCTCTAGGAAGTGCTAGTAGCATCGTTACGAGTGGAACCGTAAAAAACGCTGACAAAATAAACAACTACATTACGAAATAGTATTTGAGCATTAGTCTGTCGAAGTAAATCTGTGGCTGCCGCAGTTAACGGTCTAATGCTTATTTCGTACAAAAATTGCTTGATGCCGTAGTCTACAGAGTGCTAGAGCATGGCTGCAACGTAATGATACAAATAATTTATGCGCTATCAAAAATTTCCAGACGAAAAAATGCCACTTTGTTCATCACATAAGCTATTTTTAGCGGTTGTCCGAAGGCATACTCAAAGTCTTTCTCACAGAATGCAGGTTTAACAAAAACATACGCAGAAATCGTCTAAATATTATCAGAAACGAATAAACAATCATATAAAACTAGGCGACAGTTTCGCGAGTGCTCCGAAATGATATGATTTGGATATAATTATTGTGGGTGCTCACAAGTCATGGGCAACGAATGCAAATAGGAAAGGGGAAACACGAGAAGTACACAGAGGACATATTTGCTAGCGCTGCTACGTTAGCGGCGCGAAATTTTGACCAGCAGTCTTGCTTGGGCTCCGTATTTCTACTGAGAGAGCCGGTTGTACGCTAATCCGCTGAACAAATCGCTTTCTCAATCCGGTTAGCGCCCAGCACAAACGTCAGATCAGAAGAAAAAAATTCGTACGTCGTTACTGCAGTACCCTACATTATGCTATAGAAATACATTAGTTTTGTATATGTGAACGCTGCTAGAACGGCTACTAAACTATGAAAAGTGAGCAGTTTTCCGCTAGCAATAGACAGTCCCCAACAAAATTCATCAAGTACTATACTACCGTCTCATCTCTTCATGATTTACAGACGACTTGTTAATAGCCCTTAGAAAATAAAGTTGCATTACCTAGTTATGAAAAAGTTATTAACTTTGTCTGTCGCTTTCACTCCCTCGATTCCGTTCCAGTTTCAAATGAATCTATGAAAAGTAGATCAGGCTCTTAATAAGCTCATGCGATTTTGAAGACTGGAGTCGGTTAAGCATAACCGGAGCGCGCAATGCGTTCTACTTGTATCTTGTTGGCATAGGTCAACAAGGTTGTAATCAAGTGAGCACCTTAATGGGAGATGTTTCTTCTATTTCTTAATCATTAAGGTCGGCATCTAGCGATTGCGAAGATCAGTTGCTGTTGTTGTCGTCGAACACTTTTTCTCTGGACGAAGCGTCAAGGAGATCGGAAGCCTCCTTTATGAGGTTCGCCATTTTCATGCGCCTCTGAAAAAAAAATTCAAAAGAATATTTCTATCAGGTAAACCGGAAAATTCTTGATTCTGATTCAAGCAAAAAGAGCTCGAAAATTTACCACAATAGCTCAGAAAGCCATTTTTCGTACATCTGACTTTTGGATACAGAAGTTTTAAGAAGAAGACACGAATAGACATACATCATAGCTTATTGACTACTCAGTTATCGTTCCGTTCTAAAAGCTATCTCTCTTAACGCTAACTGATAGGAAAAGGCCGGAAAACAACGTTCTTACGAGCCGTTTCCTATCGTTAGCTTCGCGCGTATCTACTCCTCTTCTCTATTTGGAAGCTACAAGCTAAGCTTCTCCAACTACCGCTCATTAGCTAATCAATCCGATTACCGAACGTACTTTCCAGCTTACGAGTAACGCGATCAGTAGAGCCATGCGTATGCACTTTTCCTGATTATCCGAAAAAAAAGCCACCCCGTGAAATCTGCCGACCATCATCACGTCAAGAGACCCGGGGGATTAAATCTGTTTTAAGATAACGCTGTTTACTTGCCATCGATCCTGTGGCAGAAGAACGCCGCTTTGCCAATTGTCAACCAATAGCAAGCCTATTGCCATTTCAGATAGAGTCAATAGTCGGTGTTGACAGTGGATAGTTGCTTCGTGCGCCCAGGTATCCCGTTTTCTGGGCGACTCAATCCGTTTTAGGACGTTTTGCTGGCAGCAGGAGCTTCAAAGTGTTACTGCTTCGTCTTAATGGCGTTTGTTATAAAAGCTTTCGTTGGCGCCGCTCTGGTGCTGGCCATCGTGTGCGACTTAACGACCGCTGTCAACAATTCTTGTATCGGTTCGTAGAGATTCTTCTAGTGAGTGTGGATGCGGTGTTATGGGTTCCCTGCAAATGGAGATCTAGTGAAAAAAAAAGTCATGAAGAATCGATAAAAAATTATTGTGGGGATCACGGTGACGTGTTGTATCGTAGCATGAAGATGTAGTGCCCAATGTAAAGTGTTTATTTACAAAACAATTAGAGAGATTGTCCAGTATTAAACGCACAAACAAATCTGCTTTCATTTTTTTCACCGTCCGAATTTAAAGCTCGTGATTAAGTAACTAGGCTTGAAAATAGCACCCGGAATTTTTTTTAACAATATTTGAGCGACAACCTAGTTTTATGGCGTTCCAGGCGATTGTGACATGGATTGGGAGCCGCGAGATGTTAAAGATAGCGAAATTCGTCTGGCTGCCGAATATGCCGCTCATTTCTATTCTCAACAAAACCATCAAGAGTTCCAAGATATCCTTGTCGAAGTTGTCAATGCCTACAAAAAGGTTAGACATCGTTCCTTTGCAGTTAAACATGCCCTTAAAGGAGACTGGAGTGCGCTGTGCTCGCTAAATATGACTTCGGGGTACGGTAGACTGAAACCTGGTTTAGATCTATCTGAATATCTTAGGAAAAACTCTATCAACGGCAGTGTCACAGGGGATTACCGTGAATCTGCGCAATACGGGAACACTTCAAAGTTTAGCTTGATCGATAACGACTTGCCGCTTTATATTTCATTCTATTTAGCCATGCCGTTTCCCGATGTACAATTTTACTGCTGTCTACGGTACCTCGAACTGTAGGGTGGACGACTTCGAGTCGTTGGATTGTACCCTCGTCGCTGAAAAGGTAAACGATCTCATTTACCTAAACTGAACGAATTAATTGATATTTCTACTTGAAAAAAACAAACCTCAATATAAACCACTCATATCTATTGCGCATAATCCTGTCTTTTTCATGTATCGGTGTGTCATTTTGATAATAGTCAAACAAAAAAATATTATTTTTCATCGCATTTTGTGAGAGCTACCAGCTAAGAGATGAAAGTGCAGACGACAGTCAATCCGGTTGTCTCAGTTTTGTATGTGTGTGGACGTATCTTTTACAAAAAAATATTTACTAGATTGCTTTATTAACGATACTACTTGCAGATTTACGGAAGTCAGCAATAAACATTCCTTTGGTCTAAAACTTGCTTTTTCAAAACCTCAGGCTTGACAAAACACTATTACGTAAAAGTTTAACGTAAATGCATGTGGGCACACGTTTTCAGTAAGTATCGACCTGGATATACTGGTTATCCTCTGCAAAGCTTTACGCTCGTAATCTTGATATTACTAAGGCACATCTTGATGCTAGTCTATGACTGCGTACTGCCCAATAAGCCCATCCTAATCTGACGATTACCAACCTTCCGATGCGGTTTCAGAATCTTCATAAATGCAAGTCATTCATGGTGGTTCAGCCGGGCCGTGGTAGCGTGCTGGAGGAACACAGCTGTGTAACTATCAAGCAAAAAAACGATAAATGAAGATAAATATTTTGTCTACTCGAAAGCGAACCTTTTGGAGAGCTCTTTAGAAAAACTTTCAAAGCTTTATTCCAGCCTATTTTTATTAGTCGAAAATAAATGGATAACTTACTTGTGGGAGTTTCCCAGGAACCGTTTACGCTATCTATGCCACACTTTTCGATAACGTAATCCAAAGCGATTATTATATAACTGGAGCTTAGCAGGGCTACAGATCCTGTGTTTATTTCGTTGGAATCGCCTTTTAGATGCATGGAGAAATGGCTTTCTACTTGGAAAACACTCACAGCGGAACTCGGTTCCGCTATTAAATTCGGCATTGTTACTTGAAAAGAAAGAAGCAATGTCTAAACAGCTTTCATTTAGGTTAGCTTACCCTATGACTATCGTGTTTCCACTTCAGGGTACAGACGTTGGCATAAAATGGCTTTTCTATCGTACTCAGTTATATTGAGAAGGTTAAAAAGGATTGAACGTTAAGATTTAAATAAAACCATGTATGGGTTCGTTTGCGCTAACCCACAGGCGTGTAGAGTTTCGGATCAACAAGTTATTTAGAAAAGTTCTAGGCTTGTAAAACGTCGCTGAGCTTTGTTATCTTAGGCCCCGTAGTTTCAGATGCAAAAACCTGGGGCAACTAAGTTGAAGGCGCCGACAATATAATCAAGACATGTAGAGGGACTGTTCGCTTCATTCTTGACGGTCAATGAACGGGTGACATTAAAAATTAACTAGTGATATAACAGGAGATATAGCTAGCAGAAGACCAGAGTCACAGCAATAGAGCCGACTAATGGGTAAAAACGGGCCTTTAAAAAGAGAAACAAGTTAGAGATACTGTGTAATACCCGGGCTCAAGAAATATGTTGGGAACGATAAAATATTCTGATATTTTTATGGAGCTGTATATTTCGTTGTATGTTGGTCGCTACTACCATGCAATATATATATATATATATATATTATCTTGCCGTACAAAAGAATATTGCCCCATACACCCTGTCAGGCCTGGATGTCCTGAGCCAGCTATAAAAGTCGAGTTGCACAAGACAGAAAGAGACCAAAACAGAATTACACAAATATATCTAATGTATTTCACAAAAAAACAAGCCGGGAGAGAACTAGAACGTAACTGCCGAGATACGCTTAGTGTAGCACCCGACGACAAGAAGAAGAAACCCAGTCTAGATATTAAACTCAGATCTATTAAATAAATGCGATTGCACAGAATGCATCACGACCGGTGTAGGATTCATATAATGTTGTGAGGGATTTTACGGTCTACAGAGTCAAATATCTGAGCAAAAAGGAAAAAGTAAAAATACAGTAATTTAAAAAATAAGTTATTTTTCTCTGAGAGGTCTTCTTCATGGGTTTTCTGTGTGAAGTTATCTGTTATTGAACTTCGACCACGGAAATAGCGCCTACCGACATATAGATTTTCCAGTTTCCATCCATTTGCGTTTAGCTTTCAGTCGTAGAGATAGCTCGCAAGACAACAAAGCCCGTTGAAGATCTTTTGACGGCGTGGTACGGCCGTTATTCATGTAGATACCGACAAGTGCTTGACTAATTAACTTTCGAACTGTAGAGCTAAACAATTAAATTGAAACTGGGTGATGGTCCACTTCATTGAGATTCACCATAAGCAGGTTTGCTGGAGCTGTCTACCAGCCACGCGTCGCCGCCTACACAGCGACCGCCTACTACGGCCTTAAGATAGGTTAGAACTTCAACCTTGGAATTTATCTGTAAGCCTAGCGCATTTCTCCGATACTTTTTTTAATAGGCACTCCAGCACTGAGGCAGTATATGGACGTGCCTCAATGTCGTATTTAGAATTTGAATTTAGATAATAATGAATATCATTTAGTATATAAGAACATTGTGTACAGGCGCTAAACTAGAAGGACACAAGTAAGCTAAATTGTGCTATTCGTAAGTATTTGTGATATTTCAAGGTGTTCGAACGGTGCCTTCTGCTGGTTGTTTAGGAGAAACGTTGGTGGTTAAAGACTGCGCATTGTCACTTGAACGACTGTGAGACATTATTACTATCTGTGTTGAGCCGATTGAAAGAGAATGCTTGATTATATTTGAAAAAGACAGTAATATATACACGAAAAATATATGCTTCAATACATAATGTTTCATGACGCAATGCTCCTTGAAGAGGACTACGACAAATCTATGTGACTGACTATTGTCTGAAGGTGCCCTTTATATTATGATTAATATAATACGGCTACTAGTGTGCTTCTAAGAATTGACGGTTTTTGAATCGTTTTTTTAGCAGAACAGGCAAATGCTAGGAGAGACGTAAGGCCACGGAATATGCCGTTCATGTTCACTCACAATTGACGGGCCTGGTGTACAAGCTGAGGTTCTCGAAAATCATATCAAGACAAACGTGGACGGTAGTCCCTTTGCACCTATCCTTGTTATAAAAATAATATCCGATAATTATTTCCCGCTTTTACTACTGTTTTGTGCAAACCATAGCTACTACTGAATGTCTTGCCTAGAATTGAGCTGACCTGTTCCGTACGATTTATATCGTGTTTATGTTGCATGTATTAATCAATGTAGGAACAAGTTCATTATTTCTAGTCTATTTCATTAAAATGTGATAGTTAGACACGGTTCCTGTATTCCAATGTAGGCGACTTCGACACCATAAGCTGTTCGCCCACCCCGAAAAGGCGTATAAGCACCAGTCTAACCTACTCAACTGTCTCTCTCTCTCTCTCTCTCTCTCTCTCTATAT